TAGGCTTTATATGGGCAACAATGATTTGGTGAAAATTCGGTAGGCAGAGTTTGGTACGCAGAATTGCCATTGGTTGCATATTTGCGTGTGGGTGTAGAAGACTGTCGGCAGAGAACTCTCTGTATACACATTTTCCCCTACTCTTTGCAGTTACTGGGAGTTGCAGGTGGGCAGAGTGTGTTATCTCCTGCTTAGGGGCTTCCCATGGGCATCTGGTTGGCCACTGCAAGGACAAGGTGCTGGACTAGGTGGGCCATTGGCCTGATCCTGCAGGCGTATCCTGTGTTCCTAGTCTGTAACCTCCCAGCACAAGCAAAAGAAATAACTGCAGATGGGCAAAGTTACAGGATGCATTCTGCTTGCAGAATTCAGTTTTCCCTTGTGTATAAATTGCACCACTGTTGCACAGAATTCTGGTGTCAGAGCAGGTTTCTTCCCCTCTTTTTCTTTTACCCCTGGTGCTTTCGATGCGAAAACCTGCTCTTTAATGCAGAATTGGAACAAACGCCAATTCAGGTCTCCTGCCTATTGCCATTTGCTCTGAATCAGCGATAAAAAGCAATTTTTTTTTGGTAAAAAAAGTACTCTGACATTGCACTTTAAAGCACAGACCTGGGTCTCCAGCTGTTGCTGGACTACAACTCCCATGATCCCTAGCTAGCAGGACCAGTGATCAGGAATTATGGGAATTGTAGTCCAAAACAACCAGCTGGAGATGGAAGTTTGGGAAACCCTGCGTTAGTTAGACACCAGTGGCAGAAACAAACTACCCAGCCATTAAACTGTAGTTGAGGACAAAAGATGGGGTCCTATTCTATGGCATACTTAGCATCAGAATGAATGTGACTGCGAAGGATTACCCAGATACGGCAGTTAAAAAAGCAGAGCACACGTGATATTTTGCAGATAGATGGGACCAGGTTCAATCCCCTGGCATTGCTAGTTAAGAGTAAGAATAAATGTTGCAGGCGAGGGGAGTTGCGAAAGCTTCTGTAAAATAGGTTACTGGATGGACTGTTGGCCTGATATGGTATAAAGTCTCTCCGTATGGACTGACGGAGTTTGTTAGTCATGGTATAATTGCGGCTGGAGCCAAGGGAACCTTATTTGGGAGACTGTTTTTCTATCATGTAGAACAACAACATCAGTCCGTGTTTGTGGGTGTTTTTGAGCATTTGTTTATAGCAAACCTGTATGGGTTGCCCCTCCCTAGGAAAAAAAGTGTTTGATAGAGGGGATGGAATTCAGTGGCAGTGGGGGCAATGGAGGAAAGTCTCTGTTCCTGGTATCTTCAGTTAAAAGGATCAGGGTTTGAGAAGCGTTAGGGTACCAGAATCGTGGATTAGTCTGACCTGGTAAAAGGCAGTCTGATAGGGGACCATTAACCATGCATAATTGTCTATCCAGGTGTTTCAAATCTCTCTCCCCAATCTGCCCCATAGATAGCAAAGCAGAAGAGTTATTGAGCCCCGGTGGTTCAGCAAGAAATGTGTTCACGTATTTTGTATGCAAATGTACAAAATGCCTGCACTGAAAACGCAGCCAATCCTCTAAATACACACTTGCCTGAGTTTTGCGGCGCAGCTCTTCAGCTCCAAAATGCGCACGTTAAGGAAAAGGGCCCTCAAAGATGAAAAGAAATTGCATGCAAAATGGATAGGACGGACACCTCAGAATATACATATTAGGAAAAAAACGTGCAAAATGAATGTGTATTTCTGTGCAGGCTTGAAAAGAGTAATTTGCAAACGAATGCAGTTATGAGGTGGTCTGGATTTAAGATTGCGGAGAACCAGATTCTGCTTGTGGTCTTCCTGTAGACTTCTGGTTGGTCCTTGTGGAAACAGAACTGCAGGAGTCTTTGCCCTGACCCAGAAGGTTCTTCTATTCTTATTTCTCCATCTCTAGTCTCCTTACATTGTTGATGGTGTTAATTTTGCCTTAGTGGGCCATGCAGAGAGTTCAGTTCACCTGATCGATAATGAACAGCAATTGCACCAACACCACCAATGCAATGTTATAGAATTCTATAACATCTCCACTGAAAGCAGCTACTTTGGCACCGGTGGGGTTCTGCTGTGGCCTTAAACTCACAACACAGGAGTAGGTTTTTTAAAAATAATAATTGGTGTGACTTACGGGTTTATGACTGTGGTGTTAAGACGACGCATCCTTTGCACTGCAAGCCTTTTGATATCCTCTTATTGGAACAACCAGCCTTCACCCAGCCAATCACGTACACAAAAGACTTTAAGAATTACTTTTGGCAAAGATGCCTCTATGATTCATTCTTTGGCAAAACTGCCTATTCTTTTCCATTTGTGATGCAGGAGTCTCTTGGAGTATGAATATATGCTTTATATTTCCAATCCCCACATGCGAAAACAACAAGGCTCCTTCCACGTTGCGAAAGATTGCTAAGCCGTTACAATAATTTCAGCATGACAGCTTAATGATTTGGTATTCCACGCTGTGGAATACTCTGGCTTTTCCTCGTTTTTGCTATTTGATGTGACACAGCGGGGACATGATTTTTGCCTTGCTCTTCTCCTAAGGGACACAGGCTCTCCGTATGACTTTCTTAAAAAACGAGACAGTGCCTCTTAAAATCAACAATAGGGATTCTCTTACCCCAGGATGGGAAGGTGGATTCCTTCACAATGGTGGAACAGGCTCACTCCATACCCTCCAACATTTCTCCAATGAAAATAGGGATAATGCATAATAATAATAATAGTAATAATAATAATAATTTTACTATTTATACCCCACCCATCTGACTGGGTTGCCCCAGCCACTCTGAGCAGCTTCCAATGTATATAAAAACATAATAAACTTCCCTATATAGGGTTGCCTTCAGATGGCTCAGGAGTCTCATAACCCCATACCCTCCAACATTTCTTCGGTGAAAATAGGGACATCCTAAGGCAAAGCGGGACATTCCGAATCAGGAACTGGGATGGCTTCTGTTAATCCAGGACTGCCCCTGGAAAGAGAGGGGCACTTGGGGGGTTCTGTCAGGTCTGGGGGCAGAGCAGTTGCTTTGGGATTAATGCCTCAACGCTTACCTCCTTCCATCTCCAGGTTTTGGGGATGGGGAGATGATTCTGTATCCTTGCACACCATCCTATAACTAGGGTGGCCTTTCACAGAGACATAGAATCATAGAATTGGAAGGGACAGGGACCCCAAAGTTCATCTAGTCCAATCCTCATTGACCTCAGGCAGCGTGGCTATTGCTCAGGGATGAAAGGCACTTATTTCTTCACAATGCAGACATGGTGTGTGTGTGTTAAAGGATGTGGTGTGCCTCTGAAAAAAACCAAACAGGTTTCTAGAAAACTAGGTGCCAGGAAGAAGGGTTTAACACGCAGTGTGTGTGTGTGTGTGTGTGTGTGTGTGTGTGTGTGTAATGATTCACTCCAGTATGTGAGTTCCCCAGCCCTGAAGTCTGAACTGGGACAGTCCACAAACGTAATAAACTAAGCTTTGTGCAAAACCTGGGCTGGAATGACTCCCGACTCCTGTGGAACGGAACACCTAAAACACAGGCCCGATTTCCCTAACATTACATTTCCCTGGCTGCTTGTTATGGCTGCTTTATTTCAGACATGATTCTGGCCTCTTTGCATTTTCTAAACGCCTGCCAAAAAGATCCGTATGCCACCTGGTGCATGTGCTAGTCAGCTAAACTAAAGATCATAATCCGACAAGATTAGGGGATGCAAGACTTGATACTTTAAAGTAGCTTTCAAAACCAAGTCAAGAAGTTGGATAGCAGTCAGTGGACTCTTGTCACTGACATGTCATTTCCTTCCTGGGATATGATGCAATATTTTTTTGCGAGAGAGTTGATGTAAGGTAAATGGCAGGCTAAGAGCCCAAATTCTCTTTTAAATCCCTGGCCAGCCAGGAATGTTCTAGCTGGCTTTACACAAGTCCTTAAATTCAGTTGCCTATCTGTAAAATGGGCATAACAACACTGGCCCTTTGTACGGTGATATTATTGCCACTTTGTACATATTTCTGAAATCCTTGGCTTTCAAAATTAGTTTCTGGAGAATCAGCTTGTCTTAAATTAAAACTCCAGGCTTAAATTAAGCTTCTGATTTAAGGCAGGGAGATTGGACAAGCTAGATGGTGCTGTGATGTTGTTGTCTTCTGAAAACCTGTATTAACTAGCAAGTCTGTTCCAAAATCCCCATTTTGGGTTTTCGCATATTCATAATTTTTCTAGACTCCTCATATTTAGGAAACCGTTTTCTCTAAAATAAATAAAATAAATAAAAAAGTATCAAGAGAATTCTTGAGTATTTTTAGTTGGTGTTGTAGGAGGGAACAGCCCCAGTGAAAAAAGGAGATTTTGCATGGCTTGTGGATAACAGACGATGTGTGTTGTTTGTTGTTTAGTTGCGTCCGACTTTTTGTGACCCCGTGGACCAGAGCATGCCAGGCCCTCCTGTCTTCCACTGCCTCCCACAGTTTGGTCAAACTCATGTTGTAGCTTCGAGAACACTGTCCAACCATCTCGTCCTCTGTCGTCCCCTTCTCCTTGTGCCCTCCATCTTTCCCAACATCAGGGTCTTTTCCAGGGAGTCTTCTCTTCTCATGAGGTGGCCAAAGTATTGGAGCCTCAGCTTCACGTTCTGTCCTTCCAGTGAGCACGCAGGGCTGATTTCCTTCAGAATGGAATGTGTGTTGTTACTTTGATGCAATTAATCAATGGGAAATCTATGGATACAATACACTGTGGATAGAACACAACCCAAGTCATCGTCAACCTCTTAATACTTTGTTTCAGTGCTGCAAGATGCATAAATATATATATACAGAACGTGAGGAAATGCCCACAACTATACTCTAGCTGCAACAATCCCTGTAATGTCCTATTTATCGTGGCAAATATCTGCAATTGACTATAATTCACTGCTTTGGATACACATCAATGCTCCATTTTTGACATCTTTGTAACACGCCTGTTTTTTCTTTTTCTACCCCAGTCAGCGGCAAGAAGGGCAGGAACATCGTGCGCAAATTGCCAGACCACCACCACCACCCTGTGGAGGAGGAACGCCAACGGAGACCCCGTCTGCAACGCCTGTGGGCTGTATTATAAGCTCCACAATGTAAGTGAGGCGGTAACTCTCTGAAGAATACCTTTTGGGGTTTAAACTAGGATAGAATATACCATACTTTTCGCTCTATAGGACACACTTTTCCCCCTCCAAAAATTAAGGGGAAATATGTGTGCGTCCTATCAGTGGCGTAGCGTGGGGGGTGCAGGGGGGGCCAGCCGCACCGGGCGCAACATCTGGGGTTAGGGCAAATCCATGGGCTAGGGGGCGCAAATCCACAGGTTAGGGGGCACAAATCCACGGGTTAGGGGGCGCAAATTACTTGCCTTGCCCCGGGTGCTGACAACCCACGCTACGCCACTGCGTCCTATGGAGCGAATGCAGGCTCATTGGCTTCAGCGATAGCAATGCAAAGCCTCCGAAGCGCAGAGGGAGGGCTCCCTCCGCGCTCCGGAGGCTTTGCGTTGCTTTTGCTGAAGCCTGGAGAGCTAGAAGGGTCGGTGCACACCGACCCCTCTCACTCTCCAGGCTTCAGGGATAGCAACCTGAAGCCTTCAAAGCGCAGCACGAGTTCCCGCTGCGCTCCGCAGGCTTTGGGTGCCTTTTGCTGAAGCCAGGAGAGCAAGACTCTCCTGGCTTCAGCAGAGAGGGAGAGCTGCGCAGCGTCCCTTCAGTGAAGCGGGAGGAGAAAGGGAAGGGGCTCCGTTTATCCTGCTGCTTCACTGAAGGGGCGCTGAGGGGAGAGGGGGAGAATTTTTTTCTTCTTGTTCTCCCCCTCTAAAACAAGGTGCGTCCTATGGTCTGGTGTGTCCTATAGGGCAAAAATACGGTATTTCCTGGCTTACGTGTGTACAGGCAAACCACAGAGCTTTATCTCACCAGGTCTTGCTTGGGGCCCCCTTTAGCTGAACACAGTGCACTTCAATGCACACTGAGGCTGTTCAGTGAACTCTAATGCACTCTGAATGAAGCTGTGCTAGTCAGGTGTAAATGGGCCCCGTGGTGACCTCATGGTATTGTAACATATAAAGGGAAGCAAGAGAATGGGGCTGAACATTGTATGGAATGCTGGTTGGAAGACCTAATAATAATAATAATAATAATAATAATAATAATAAAATTACATTTTAATTCTGCCCTCTAATTTGATCAGGGATATTGAAAATGATTTGCTTCCCAACCATTTATCCTCATAACAACCCTGTAAGGTAGGATAGGCTGAGGAAAGGTGATTGGAAAAAGGTCACCCAGGGAATTTCACACGTGAGTGGGATTTGAACCCAGGTCTTCATAGGTCCTAGTCCAGTAGTCCAACATTGAGGTATTGGCTAGAAAATACATTGCTCTAACCAAAATGAAAATTGCCTGGTTAGAAAGGCAGTGGATACACTTTACAGGTTGTGTCTCGATTCTGGCTAGGGTTGCCATCCATTTCCCCCCTCCCAAAACTCCTGAGGCACAAAGAACTGCCAGACCAGCTGAAAATTAGCAGGCGCAGTGTATTCTCATAACCACACTGTCTCCACAAGATGGGGGAAGGGCCCTCGTTAAATTTCTCTCTGTCGGATGGTAGCCAAAGTATTAAAGGCCCCACAGGGTGGCAACCCTAATATTCTCACAAAGCTCTGGAACATTTTCCTTGCGCCTCTGCTTCAAGGGGAATGGGGAAATAAAGAAAGTGACACAAGCAATTCTCCAAAAGAAGGGAATCTGATTTTGTCCGGTGGGTGAAAAAGTCTGCTTTGGCTGTGTCTTTTAGTACATCTGATATTCTTTTAAATCAACGTGTTTGTGGGAGCAAGAGAGGCTATTGTTTCATTTCATTTTTTGCCCTTGTTTTTATTATGTAATTTGCGTTTTTATGCTGTGAACCGCACTGATGAAGGGTTTTTAAACTACAAATCAAATCAAATAAATAAGTAAAATAATGCTCATAAAAAGAGATGGGGAAATTTATATGAAAAGGTGTATCCTGTAACAAAATCTCCCAGGGTGGAATGCTGGCCAATGAGCTGTGCCCTTTACTAGCACACTCCATTCCACCCTCTGTCGTCTCTCACCTCCCCGTAGCAGCCAGTCAGTACTCCTTGCCCTTTCAGCATGCTATTTTGGGAAGTTTCTGTCCCGGCCCCGGGGAGGTTTCCTCTTAAGTTTTTGCACGCATCTGCAAACCTTGGGTTTTCCCCAAGCTACTTAAAACCCCCTTCCTTGGATGCAGTTTTACTTATTCAAGGACTGGTGCTGAGAGGTGACATTATAGACATTTACAAAATGGTGCATGGGATAGAGGAAGTGAGCAGAGAAAAGGTTTTTCTCCCTCTCTCATAAAACTAGAACTCTGGGACACCCAGTGTTGGAAAATCCACGATGGATAAAAGGAAGCGCTTCATGCAGTGCACAGTTCGGCTGTGGAACTCACTGCCACTGGAAGCAGTAATGGCCACCAGCTTGGATGGCTTTAAAAAAGGATGGAGGCAGCAGTGCTTCTGAATCCCAGTTGCTGGGAACCACTGGTTGGCCACTGCAAGAACAGGATGCTGGACTTGATGGGCCATTGACGTGGTCCAGTAGTCTTTTCCTACATTCACATTCTAGAATAACTTTGCTATTTATATATCTGATTGGGTGCCCTACCTCGAAACAAAATTTAAAAATTCCTTCCAGTAGCACCGCAAAGGTAAAGGGACCCCTGACCATTAGGTCCAGTCGTGACCGACTCTGGGTTGCGACACTCATCCCGCTTTATTGGCTGAGGGAGCCGGCATACAGCTTCTGGGTCACGTGGCCAGCATGACTAAGCTGCTTCTGGCGAACGAGAGCAGCGCACGGAAACACCGTTTACCTTCCCGCCGGAGCGGTACCTATTTATCTACTTGCACTTTGACGTGCTTTCAAACTGCTAGGTTGGCAGGAGCAGGGACCGAGCAACGGGAGCTCACCCTGTCGCGGGGATTCGAACCGCCGACCTTCTGATCGGCAAGTCCTAGGCTCTGTGGTTTAACCCACAGCGCCACCCACGTCCCTAAGTAGTTGGTCTCTAAGTAGCACCTTAGAGACCAACTAAGTTTGTTATTGGTATGAGCTTTCCTGTGCATGCACACTTCTTCAGAAATTGGAGGGATTTTTTTTATTTTGTTTCAAATTCGTTTATTTTGTTTCAACTACGGCAGACCAACACAGCTACCTACCTGTAACTGGTGCCCTACCTGACAGTCTTGCATTTGAAGGGCTCTCGGAGGGCATTCCTCTATTTGAGGGTAGTCTTTTATCTGAAGGGCTGCCTGAAACCAAGTCTGGTTTAAAAGACCAAGAAGCATTAGGAAGGGAGGTTTTGCCCATCAGCCACTTGGCAGCTGGGCACGCCTGCACGATTTGTGCTTCTGTTTAAGATACAGTCCTTATAAATTGCTGCCCTGGGCTGCTTTGGAAGGAAGGGCGGGATATAAATTTAATGGACAAATAACAAACTTGCAAATGTTATGCAAATTTGAGCCTTTTGCTTTGGGGATGCACGCTGTCTCTCCTTTTGACAATGAATAAGTGGCACCCCCAAAATATGCTGCCTGGTAGACTTTGTTCCCATATCTAGGTGTAAAGGCAGCTACAAAAACGCACCACCCTTAAGGAAATGACTGAAAAGAATCGTCTTATAGCGACAACAGTAGTAGCAGAGTTTTAGCACTAGAGTTGGCGGTTCTAATCCCCGCAATGGGGTGAGCTCCCGTTGCTCGGCCCCTGCTCCTGCCAACCTAGCAGTTCAAAAGCACACCAAAAAGTGGAAGTAGATTTATAGGTACCACACCAGAGGGAAGGTAAACGGCGTTTCCGTGCGCTGCTCTGGTTCGCCAGAAGTGGCTTAGTCCTGTTGGCCACAGGACCTGGAAAAACTGTCTGCAGACAAACGCCGGCTCCCTCGGCCAGTAAAGCAAGATGAGCGCTGCAACCCCAGAGTTGTCCGTGACTGGACCTGACGGTCAGGGGTCCCTTTACTTTTAGAACTAGAATAATGTGAATGGGGGCAGCGGGGTGAGATTTTTTAATTGCTTTGTACGATGTTCCTTGCACTTTCTTTAATTTTTAAAAAAGCGATTTCTCACTTTTATGTGAGGCTTTTAAAAAAAATATTTTGCCCTCAGCAGCTTTCATGCAGCCCCCCTTCAAAACTAGTGGGGATGGTTGTGGGGTGGTGCTTTTAATGCATGTATTCATTTCTGAATTTAAACTGGGTCAGCTTCCACCTTTCCCCCTCTACTTCCACCTCTCCTGGGCGAGTAAATGTTTTTGCATGAAAGAAAAATAGAGACATGCCCCCCCTCCCTGCACAATTATGTGAACCATACAGTGACTTTATTGATATTAAAATGCTGCCTTTTTCGAATCTGGAATTGAGTGACACTGGCATATTTATGCTGTGAGCTGTCCTGAGATCTATGGGTATAGGGCAGTATACAAATTTAATAATAGTAATAATAGTAATAATATTAATCTACCAACATGCCAACCCAGCTCATTTCTTGGCTCTGTTGTTGAAACGTCATCTCTCCCACAAATTTTGTCTGACCTCCCATAGCTGTGTTTCTGTTCTCATGTGAATTGGGTAGTTCTTGTCAGGAGTTCAGCCTACACTTGAGTAGGACTCTGGCAGAGACACATGCCCGACTGGCATGTTCCCTCCCTCCCGGTTGATTGTTCGGGAGCTTCAAAAGCTTTCTTCAGCCCGAACATCACAGCGATCGATGCCAACAGACATCGGCACACTTAGGGATCCGCAGAGTTTGCGCAGTTGCGTAACAGACCTCAGCAACTCAGCATTTTGGCTAATCTACTTTATTTACATATAAACACACACGAAGCACTACGACATGGCTCCCTCTCTCTCTAGCATTAGACAGCAAAGAGAAAAAGAACAAATAGTCCCATTTCATGGAACACAGTAACACAAACATCCTGTTTCCGTCACTTCCCACTCTGTGGAGTCAAAACATATACCGTCATGTGATAGACAAAAATCCCATGACTGCAATCATGGAGCAGGAATTCTAACAGTTCTGCCTTTAAATGCAAACTGCACTGAAATCTCCCCCATACTGAAACACAACCCACCAGTTAAGGACTAAAGTTTAGGAAAAGGCTTTAATGCCAGGTCAGACTATTGGTTTATTTAGCTTAGTATTGTCTACACTGACTGGCAGAAGCTCTCAAAGGTTTCAAAATGGGGGTTGAACTTGGGACTGTCTGCATTCAAAGCAGATCTCCTCCTGCCAAGCTGCTCCCTTTTAGCAATTAATGAGACGTTTGCTACCAGCAGATCATATCCAGTTAAGACTGCTTTAGTCCATGATGAGAAAGGAAGGTGTTAGTAAACCACAGGCCTACTTTTTTAAAACAACAACAACAAGCCCCAAACCACCTGCAGATCACAAGGTCTTTTGGTTAGAGGTTCAGGTTGATTTGTTGAGGAAACTGTCCTCTTTCCCCCTGCCTTGGTACCATAGAAAAGGGTGAGAGATCACCGCAACAACTTTGGGGAAATATATTTTCAGGGGTTTGTGAGGGAAAGATGGGAGAAAAAAGGATGAGAGTATACTAAACGGGCGGGAAAACGGGGGGAAATGGGAAGAAGACAAGACGAATACAATTCTCATTGATTCAGCAATACAGTCAAACCTCGGTTGCCGGATGTAATCTGTTCTGGAAGCCTGTTCGGCTTCCGAAACATTCGACAACTGAGGTGCGGCTTCTGATTGGTTGCAGGAACTCCCTGCACTCAAGCGGAAACCGCGTCGGATGTTTGGCTTCTGGAAAATGCTCGAAAATTGGAGCATTTACTTCTGGGTTTTTGGCGTTCACGAATCAAAATGTTCCAAAACGGAGGTGTTCAGGAACTGAGGTTTGAGGGTACAAAAGAAAATTACTGGTGATTGACAGATTCCCAAAATGACTTCACCCGCTTTGCAATTAAATACATTCAATCAAACATATGGCATAAGGGGTATATGGATTTAAACTTTTCACATTTGAGTGACTCTCGAGTCAGATTTGCAGCTTTTGGGTCCTTTTGCTTGTGTCACTGTTCCGTTTTAGATGCCAGAAGTGCAGCAGGACTTACTTCCTTACTCTTTAGATGGCAATATGTATTCCTTCACATACTTCAAAACATGGGTCTCCAGCCTTGCTCTGTTTGAGGGTCTCTCTGCCGATTGGCTAGACAGCATCCTAAAAAGCAGAGACATCACCTTGCCAACAAAGGTCCATATAGTTAAAGCCATGGTTTTCCTGGAACTTATATCCCCCAAATCCCATCCTGACAGATAGGAATTACCATATTTTTCGCTCTATAAGACGCACCAGACCATAGGACGCACCTAGTTTTTGGAGGAGGAAAACAAGAAAAAAATATTCTGAATTTCAGAAGCCAGAACAGCAAGAGGGATCTCTGTGCAGTGAAAGCAGCAATCCCTCTTGCTGTTCTGGCTTCTGGGATAGCTGCGCAGCCTGCATTCGCTCCATAACACGCGCACACATTTCCCCTTACTTTTTAGGAGGGAAAAAGTGAGTCTTATAGAGCAAAAAATACGGTAGTTTCATTTGAAACATTTCACCCTATGTAGCTTTTGGAGGAGTCGGGAGGGCAGGTGGGCAGACGAGACGGCCCCACAAAAAGATTAATTGATTTTTGTTTAGATTAACAGACCCCTGACTATGAAGAAGGAAGGCATCCAGACCCGAAACCGAAAAATGTCTAGCAAGTCGAAAAAGTGCAAAAAGGTCCACGACACCTTGGACGATTTCCCTAAGGGCGGCTCCTTCAACCCTGCCGCCCTGTCGAGACACATGTCTTCCATCAGTCACATTTCGCCCTTCAGCCACTCGGGTCACATGCTTACCACACCCACCCCGATGCACCCGCCCTCCAGCTTGTCCTTCGGACCTCACCACCCGTCCAGTATGGTCACCGCCATGGGCTAAGATCGCGCCCGAGAGAGAGACTTAAATCCCCGCTGCGATGCTTCCTTTCCTTTTTTTAAGTTCTCAGAACGAGAGGTACGTTGATCATCCTTGCCTTGTTAAGAGGCGAGAGCGCTTCCCCCTCGGCACACGAATGGACAAGGGCGCAGAAAGAAAAATGAAATCTTTAAAAGTTGGACGGAGGCGTAGAAACGAAAACCCCCCAAGCAAATGTCGTGGGGAGGTGAACTCTTGGGGGCTTTTTCTCAAGTGTCTTTTGTGTTTGCCAGCCACCAAATTTGGGGTCCCATTTGTGAATAAACCATTCTGACGCAAGTCCGCTCTTGAACTGGGTTTCTAGGGTCGCGGAGAAGAGGTGAAAGGCTGCCCACCCCCCAAATCCCCAACCTTCTCCCCCCCACTCGCTCCCCCAAAGACAAGCAGATTGATGCTGAACACTGTATAACTTATATTGTAAGAAATTCTGTACATTTTTGAAGAACACTCTTGACATCTGCTTAGCTGTAAAAAAAAAAATTGAAAGGAAAGGAAAATGGCTTGTTGGTCAAATGAAATACTGAGTTGAATGTTTTCCTGGTACGGACTGAGAAGAACAAGGTCGGACCAGCATATGGACAAACTGCCACTTGCGTTTTTTGCTCTCTCTCTCTCTCTCTTTCTTCACTCACTGGCTCAAGTTGTTTTGACGCATTAAAAAAAAAAATTAATCCAAGTTGTCGGCAAATCATGCATTCCAGGCTACGGGGCCTCTGAACAATAGGGGATGTTTTTGTTTTTGAAGGGTTTCAGGGCAGTTGGTGTGACATTCAGCTTGTAGCTGCGGCGAGTTTGTCCAGGCCTTATACGCATTGTGAACAAGTTCCTGTAATTGTTGTTTGTATGTATAATTCAAAGCACCAAAATAATAAAAAAAAAACGAGATGTAGATTTATTTCATCCTATGATACAGACTGAATGGTTGTATAAATTTTACTTACTGCTAGTGTTAAGAACTGCGCTTTTGATTTTGTTTTCATATTTTCCCCCTCTTTTTTTTGGAGAATAAACTAGATTAAATTCTGTTGATTTCTTGTCTGCTTATGCTTTCGGAGTGATGTTCAAAGGTTCTCTCTGTGTGCATGTGTGTCCGTGTGCCTCTGCTTCCATGGAAAGGCAGAAAAGGATTTGGTCCTGGGCCCTAGGAGTCTCGGGATCCAGGATTTTAAGACCAGCAACATGGAAGCAAGTTTAAAGGATTGTAGGAATATAGGAAGCTATTGTAGACCAAGTCAGGACACCAGTCCATCCAGTTCAGAATGGTCTACACTGCTGGTCTTCTACTGGTTGGGTGGGAACCCAATAGTGGGTCATGGCCACCACCATTCAAATATATGGGGAAAGAGTAAGAAACGGGTCTCCAAATTCATGGTAGGTTAGAATGTTACAGGAAAAGCTGGTGGATCAGGGGAATGCTGTGGATGTAGTATATCTTACAATCATAGAATTGTAGAGTTGGGAGGGGCAACAAGGATCGTCTAGTCCAACCCCCTGTAATGCAGGAAACTTTTGCCCAACGCAGGGATTGAACTCGAGACCCTGAGCTTAGAAGTTTCATGCTCTACTGAATGAGTTTTATTTCAATAAGGCTTGCGGCAAAGTTCCCCAATATATTCTTTTGGAAAAGCGTGGGAAATGTGGACTGGACAAAGTAACTGTTAGGCTGATTTGTAGCTGGTTGACTGAACCCAAATAGTGCTCACTAATGGTTCCTCACCGTTCTGGAAAAAAGTGACAAGTGGGGAACTGCAGGGTTCTGTCCTGGGCTCATTGTTGTTGTTCAACGTTTTTACAAACAACTTGGAAGAAGGAATGGAGGGGATGGTCATCAAATATGCAGATGACGCAAAACTGGGAGGGGTGGCTAATGCTGCAGAAGAGAGAATCAAGATTCAATATGGCTTTAAGCGGCCGCTGAGACCACATAACACTGGTCTTGAAGGACTTACATTGGCTCCCAGTACATTTCCGAGCACAATTCAAAGTGTTGGTGCTGACCTTTAAAGCCCTAAATGGCCTCGGCCCAGTATACCTGAAGGAGTGTCTCCACCCCCACCGTTCAACCTGGACACTGAGATCCAGCTCCGAGGGCCTTCTGGAGGTTTCCTCACTGCGAGAAGTGAGGTTACAGGGAACCAGGCAGAGGGCCTTCTTGGTAGTGGCACCTGCCCTGTGGAATGCCCTCCCACCAGATGTCAAAGAGAAAAACTGCCACCAGACTTTTAGAAGACATCTGAAGGAAGCCCTGTTTAGGGAAGCTTTTAATGTTTAATAGACTATTGTATTTTAATATCTTGTTGGAAGCCGCCCAGAGTGGCTGAGGAAACCCAGCCAGATGGGTGGGGTATAAATAAAATAAAATAAAATATTAACGGATTGGAGAACTGGGCCCAAATTAACAAAATGTATTTCAATAGGGACAAAGTTAAGGTTCTGCACTTAGGCAGGAAGAACCAGCTGCACAAGTATAAGATGGGGGACACCTGGCTTACTAGCAGTACATGTGGAAAGGATCTAGGGGTCTTAGTGGACCACAAGCTTAACATGAGTCAACAGTGTGATGCAGCAGGAAAAAAAAAAGCTAGCGCTATTCTAGGCTGCATCCACAGAAGTATAGTGTCCAGATCAAGGGAAGTAATAGTCCTGCTCTAGTTTGCCTTGATCAGGTCACACCTGGAATATTGTGTCTAGTTCTGGGCACCACAATTTAAGGAGGATATTGACAAGCTGGAACAGTGGGTATGGGCGATTACTGCAAAACCACAAACCTATACCTTGTCACCATGTTTGCTCCTATAGCTTGCTAGCATGAGTTTGGCTGAACAACACAACCCTCTCTTAACATGGAAAGGCACCCTTTAATTTTTGTTCGTTTAAAGAACCGGACCTAGAAACACAAATAAAGATTAGAAATAAAAATTATTTTCATCATCCAGTGACATACTTCAATACGTACCTATGCCTTTGACTATTTGCACCAAGTATCACAGAGTTAAGCATCTTTTGATCTCATTAGTTCAATTGTCTGTATTTACCAGGAACGCTTCGTATTTTCTGGTTTCTGTCCCTTCTTGATTCCTTCTGTGTCCCAAGAGGTGGCACTTCTGGTCTCTTCCCACCCTTGTTCTCTATGTAGATCTTCACTCTGCCCTCCTTCCCTGGCTGGGGGATGGGTGCCATTTTGTGGTTCGCTTCAGGCACTGAAGTGTCTTGGGCCAAACCTGTACTGCACAAAAGGAGAGCCACCACCAAGAAGGCCCTGTGCAGAATTCATCTTCCGAAGAATTGCATTTTTTATTAACCCCCCCAGCCAAAAACTAATCAGGCTTCTGGTCCTTATGGCTGCTAGTATATACCCAAGACAGTATGTGGGAAAAGCTGGCTGAAATCTTTAAAGTCAGAAAGACAGCCGAATAAAATTCCCAGTGGTTGGAGGTGAGACTTTCATTACTAGTAAAACCAGAATCAGTGATGCAAAACTGAGACCACAAAAGTGGCGGTGGGAAAAATGTACAATAAACAATGCAAAATAAGGTAAATTGTGCTGACTTTCCTAGTTCGCACAATAGTTTATTTGTTTATCTCAACAGTTTGTACAGTACTCAGTTGCCATTCTCTCTCTGTATAATTTTATTAATTTTTCTGTTTTACAATTTAAAATACTCATTTTGCATCCTTAAGATACCTGTGACTTCCCTTCTTCTCTTTCCATGGTTCATTTTACTTATCATAAATCCCTGCATATTTTACAAAAAACTATACCATTCAGTATTCCATTACTGCCTCCAGTTGCCGTTGTCTCTTATGTAGTGTACAAGCAAAACACAACAGAATAAAGATTAAAGATCAGATTATTGTTATATTTTCATCAGAATATTTTCTATATCTCAACACGCACACAAACTTTTTTTCTGAATAATTTGGCTTTGCTTGGGCACGGTGCTTTTTTGTTTTAAAGCCCAGATTATGTATAGAATTATAGAACGGTAGAGTTGGAAGGGATGCAAGACTGTCTTGTCCAACTTCCTCCAATGCAGGAATCTTTTTCTTCTTCTTTGGCGATCGCTCGTAGCCGAGTAAGATTGTCTTTCATAAACACAGTTTTAACAATGAGTCCATAAGTGACTGTGGAGGCCAATTCTGGATCCACACATCCTTCCACAGTGGGGACATTGGTTTCTGGGTGGGAGTTGATCACAGTGTGGATTTGCCAAGCGTGCCTTCCTCTTAGCACGTTCCTCCCTTTCGTCCTGAGTTCGAGTGTCTTCAAAGCCCATGACACCTTTGGTAAAGGCTGTTCTCCAATTGGAGCGCTCACAGGCCAGTGTTTCCCAGTTGTCAGTGTTTATACTACATTTTTTAAGATTCGCCTTGAGACAGTCTTTAAACCTCTTTTGTCGACCACCAGCATTACGCTTTCCATTTTTAAGTTCAGAATAGAGTAGTTTACAAATGCAGGAATCACAGCTAATGTCCCCTTAATAGGTACACGTAAGACCAGGGTACCAGCCCTCTGCCCCACCTGCAAATGTTGCATTTGCTGGAGCAGGGTGTACAGTTCCCCAAACATTTGGGTTTAACCATTTGAGTGCTGGCAAATAGTGACTCCCCCCCAATTGCCGGCATGGTGACATCACCTGGGTTTGATGGTTTGACGAATGCGGGCATTCCACGCACAGCTGCATTGAAGCACGAGAAAGGATTAACTGTGTCACTCTTGCCAGGATCAATGCTCTGCCACCCTCTCTTGTCAGCAGCGAAAAGCACGATGGAAGGGGCAAGCCCTTCCACT